GGGGGGGGGGGGGGGGGGGGTGTTAGATATTATATATGGGGTGTGGGTAGTACCCATAGTCCACACCTACCCCAAATGTTAAGCACCAATTTTGTTCAACTTCTCACTTGTCATTGTTGAATCAAGGTTACAATAAATTGTGAATTGATTGTTCTAACATTTATCCTTTGTTTTGGTAGGGGTTTAATGTAAGACATGTATAAAAAGGAGGAAAATATTCTAGCTTCTGTTCCATCCAAACCATTAATAATATCTTACTATGGTTAATCTTATACCATCCATTACACGGGATTGATTTGTACCATACATGTAATATTGTTTGACGTTGACTGGGCCTCGTAGCATTATAACAAACATGGCATTAAATTACTATTGAACTGGTTTAGTACAATCTCATTCTTAATAACCAAACCAAACATGCCTTCACAAATAACACAGTGAGAGAGGGATACATTTGGAGTCACCTCTCCTTAGAATCTGTATGAAAAGGCTCAATTGGAGTTTCCTTGGCACTCTAGGATAATACATGAACACAATGTGCATAGAAGTAAAGGCCATAATTTAATCAACGTTCTACACATTATAAACAACAGTTAACATTTACAGTCACAGTTTTCCTTCGCTGGTCTCGGCTCGATTAGGAAATACATCTAGGAGTCATTAAAGTGATTAACCTCTTCGTTTGTTGAATAGCTAGCGTCTCTCTAATTTGTCTCTCCAATAGGGGATTTGTATGTTAGGAATTCAAATAAACAAAAAGAAGCACGATCAATATTTCATATATTGGTATGGTGGTGGAATCATCTTTCTTCCTTGGCAACCTGCAGAAGTGCAATGACTTGGTCACTCTACAAGCGAAACCTAGCAAAATCATTATGCTGCAAACTGAAGGGACTTTAGAACAGCAGACCGAAATGAAACCATCCCATTTGTACTGTAACAAGGTTATTTCACAGTAAGTAGATCATAATATTTGCTACAGCACTGCTAAGTTGTTTGGTAAGAAACATTAGAATTTCAACAAAATGGGTCATTGCAATATATCAGAGTATCATTCACGGTTATGCTGTTGGGATTTAACACGATTTAAATTCACTAACAAATACACGCAATCGAAGAACAAATCAAGAATATAAAGCAATAAGAAACAAGAAAGAACGAGACACAGATTTTATGTGGTTCGGCAATTTGCCTACGTCCACGAAGCTGCAGGGATTTCACTATTGAGAGAGTTGAATACAGAGAGCGGTTGTACAATCCACAATTAATCCTAATCACCAAAACAACAGGGTTTATATGTCCTACACACTGGGCTGTATAACGGGCCCAAAAATTTTTCCTCGGGGGCACCCCACAAGGCTTGTCCATGAGCGCTACGGCTTGGGCCTATCGGCCCAAGTCTTCGTTCCATGGACTAAACCTCAGAAAAATTTCCATTAAAAACCACACAACATTACTTCGGGTTGAGTCATCATCCGGATCACATATACAAACTAGACTCCATAAAAAAAAAACCAACATATGCTCCAGTTGGATATGAGTAGTTTAGTTAATGACTATGGTAACGAAAAGGATTCAAATACTTCGGAAAGAAATGTTAAAGTTTCGATTTTTCACTTAAGACATACAGAAACCAATTTTTTTCAACTGATGTTCCTAATCATATTGTAAAACCTGATGTCTATCCAAAAAGATGGCTATTGGGCCAATACTAATCGCGTTGAAAGGCATTCTTTGTTGAAAATAAAATGCCTGCATGTTGGTAGGAATAGTTAGACAAAACATCATCATTGCATGTACACAACTACCTTCAAAACCCCTCAGTTCAAGCTCGCGCCACTCTTGAACCATCGCACAACAGCAACACATCAGATGAGTTAAGAAGTCATCACATGAACCTCCCTGCAAAAAAAAAAAACATAGAAGTAGAATATAATCACCCTTTCTATAAAGCAACAGGCGTGCATTCTTTTCTTTTTCTCACTCTGCTTTTCCTTTTCTTTTTTCTTCTTCTGTCAACCTTCTCGCATAATTTTCCTATGTTTTAATTACAATGTTTCCAATTGAATAATAACAATGAGAGCCTGAGATCATGTTTCTTGTGTCACTAGTCATAAAAAATTCTTATTCTGCCATACTGTGAAAATACAGGATTGTAATATCCTGGTGGTAGGAAATATGTTGGTCAATCGTGATTTTTATTTGTTAGACACTTAAAAGCATTATGCAAAACTATGGTTTGGCTTATTTTTAAGTAGATAAAGTAAAAGAACAATCTCAAACTCTTTCACGTGTTCATGTTCATCACAAGAAAAGTTCCCAATCTAGAGAAAAGAATGGAAAGGTCTGGAGTGTCGAGCAGAAATGAGTGAATATCTAATAGAAACCATCGTTTGTTCTTTGTTGCAGTTATGGCATTACAAACAGCTTGATTTTGAATCATGTGGAAACTGATATATATTGGTGCCGGAGGGAACATATGCTGCTCATATGACCAAACATTTTACAGATATTCTATTTCTTGACAGCAATTACCTCTATATTTAAAAGTTGCCGCAATTTCCTTCTTATGCAACAAGTGTAACAGCAACAACCACAGAAGAGGGAATATGCCATCATATTGTTCAATGCATGTTCATGAGCTGCAGTTCCAAATTGTACTAGTCAGAATAATGAACTCTACCATCAAAGGCAACAATTACATATCAAGTCCTGGATTCTGTTGGTAAAGCCAGTGCCACACCAACAGGAATAACTTTGTCCTACAAGTTTATTTCCCAAAAAGCATGGACTGTTGAAAAAATGACTTTCTCAAATATGGATGATTAATCTGACCTTATAAGCTGACCATACCCCCCCCCCCAAAAAAAAAAAAAAAAGACAGGAAAAGAAAATCAATAATGTACAGTGGAAGTTTCTCCCCGAAATTTTTCAAGAACAAAAACCTATTCAATAATGGCTTTAGCAGGAATAAAGCACTAATCACGCAAACCTAGATAACTAGAAAAGGATGATGTATTTTCAAAATAGTGGAGCCTAGTTAATGAACTTTCACTACAAAAATGCCAAACTGACTGCTTATCTCATCAATTTCCATGGCATTATGTTAACTGCAGTTTATTATTGAAAAACTTACTTATTTTTCCTTTTGACACCACCTGGGCAATCCATGAAAATATTCCGCAGGGGTAGATGCAAGCCTTCAAACCTGTGCCAGAAAGATTACCAGACAAAGACATTAATATTTATAACACCCGAGATTGTAAATAATTTGAACAGTCTGAAGTAACTACACTAAAGCCATTTAGAGTGCTATCTAAGACAAATGCAGCAAAATAGAATCCAGGCATAAAAAAGATCAACTAACTGCATAGCATTTAAGCAGAGAAAATTACTGATCAAAAATGCTATATACATATGTTCATATGAGACTGGAACACAAGTTTCACTATGGTCTTATAAATGATATCAGTGATTTGCTAAGATTCTGACAGTGCCAATTTTATGGGATTATTTGATGGGTTTTGATGTCTGTGTGACCCACATATAGATAATCAGTAATGCTTCTTAATTGATTAGTGGGAGAGTGGTAATGCTGGTTCATTGCCACAGCTGTTGAAACTATTAAGAGAGGTTTCAGCAACTTACTTAAACAAGGTTCTGCGCAACAGCCGAAGAGATCAGCCATCCACTCCGTTTTATCTTGATTTCCAGTTTGTAGGCCATCGGCTCCATTGCTGAGCTTCGTGGTTGACACATACCTGTGACATGAAGTCAATCAATATCATAGCTCATGGACATTAAAAATAGTGCTTACAGTGCATCAAGATTTACCCAGGTCCACTACAAGTTTGTGCTTTCAGGGCAAGCTCCTTTTCCAATGGCACATTAATGACATTTTCTGTAACATCAATGAGATGCTCAATTACATGGCATTGCTTGGGGTCATTGTTCACTTGAGAACGTTGCAGTTCAAAGTGCAGCTTCTCTTTCTCCTCTTCAAGAGCCTCGTGGAATTTCAAGTCTGGGTATCGACGTGACAGAGACTTCTCTAGAACACTGGCATCTTTCTTTGAACGATCATGTTTTAGTATAACATGTTGGGCCTCTACATCCTCCTCGTCAAGAGTGTACTCTCGATGGTCCTCTTCAATGGCCTGCAAGCTCTCCTTCACATTCTGATGTCATAATACAAAGATACTAAGAGATTTCAACACAAGATCTTATTAGTGTAAAATTCTTTAAAGCATTCATCACTACGAGAAATAGTCCTAATTATGAATGAACTTTGTTATAAAATGAATACACCAATATTGCATTATGGATATGACTCGGTAATCAAACAAAAGTATTATAACTATATAGTCAACACATTTCACAAAGGGGGTGTCTACCAAAAAATGGGTCATAGAAGTATAAAGTTGCATTATGTAGAAGGAATGCCACATAAAACAAACCATTAACTTCTATCCAAATAGGTCATGGAATTGCTGTCACCGAAACACCTACGTGAATCCCACTTGATGAATTCCATTATATATTCTAACAAAAGTTAAAAATCGAATCATTTTAAATGGATTGACTTGAAGTCTCACAATAGAAACTACAAAAATCCATAGAAAATATCAAAGATAGTAATGAATTCTTAGAACAAGCATATCAGCAAATCAGCTACACCCTTTTTAGCTTTCAATATTTCAATCTTTGTTTCGCTTTTTGTTGTTGTTGGTTTCCATTTCATTTTTTGGATCAAAATAGATCTTGTTTTTTCTTGAATTTTCTAAAGAAAATATTCTAATTTGCTGCTCTAATTTTTGTTTTGAACATGAACATGATTTTGCTGCTCTAATTGAAAGATAAATCAACCAATTGTCTAGTCTCTTCGTGGCTAATTGTGAGTAGTGATTTTATGACTGTCAATCCAAAAGTTGTTACTGCGATGCATCCACCTCTAGGTCGCTAATTCTTTATATCATCCATTAATCCAATATGAAATCATCATGAATTTAATATAAGGGCTAATATTACGAATTATATTTAATATTTTAATTATAATAATTTAATATATTTATATTTAATCTTTTAACTATAATAAAAATTGTAATTGCATACTTAGATTTTAACCATGATAAAAAACATGCGAGGCAAAGTTACCCTAGCTTACTTAGCTTGTGATATAACATAACAAATTGATTTTGTTCCACAGCCACGGTCAAGTACTTTTTTGCCCCAAAAAAATCCACGAACACGTGTCAGACAGATCCACCGTTCATCTTTGACCAAAAAAAAACAACAACCTACATTGATTCCTCAGATTCACAGGACATACCTGAATCCGAAACTCGTGCACCAGCGAAATCAACGGCACGAGCTTCAGGTACCGATCGATCTCGTTTTGCACTCTACGGAATTCGTACACGGCGCTCCAACCCATGGCGAGCATGTAAAGGTAGCTTTTTTCTCTGCAACTCTCCACCAAGTCCAGTGCCTTACTCAGCGCCTCCTCTAGCCCCTCCAATGGCTCCTGTGTCGCCGGTAAGATCATGAGGTCCGTCGATTTCAGCTTCTCCAGCAAGTTTCCGATCATCCTCACATGGCCGGCGAGTTGCTCGCAGTTGTATTTCAGCGTCGTGGCGTTTCTGGCGGAGGTTGTGATGAGGTTTATCAGGCCCATGGCGTCCACTCCTGCTACTTGTGCTACGTTGTCCATGTTGTACTGTTGTACACAACTTAACCACTTCAAGAGCTTAAGCTTTTCAAGAAAACTATACAATTAATCTATTATAGAAGCTGAAGGACAATGGCACTGAGGATATTGAATAATAGGCAGGCGTGTTGAGTAGGGGTTTGGGGTGGGGGTGCGGTGGGGTAGAGGGCTTTGTTCTTTGGGAGTTGGGTTTCGGGAGTGCGAGAGAGAAACAGAGATTATTGAAGTAATTGAGCATGGTTGCTTTTTCAGGTCTTACTGCATTACTGTACTCTTTGTCCTTGGCTGTGAATGCTTTTTCCTCTTTTTGTCTTTTGCTTGCTTCGTTTCGAAGGATGGATAAGTGGACTAACAGCGTTTCGACCTACACAGTAGTGATTTAAAATATATTTAATATTAAATTTTTTATTTTAATTAATTATTTTTTAAAATTCACTTCAATCACATTTTCTATTTTAATTAACTTTACTGTAAATACTCATCGATGAGACGAAATACAAAAATTACTTTAACACATTTTCACAAAAAACAATCAAATATAAAATACCACCTGATGGTGTGTGTGAAATGTGGGTGAGCAGCAAGTGGTGTAGGTGTAGTTGCGAGGATAAACATAATATATGAATTGACAGTATACTCAACTGTAGATCTGAGCTACTAGGCTCGCATACATCCTGCGAATGATTGTGGATATCCGGCTCGTGTGGATTGTGTGAATATTCTAAAAGGCTGCTTGCTTTGAATAAATTTGGGTAGTATTAAAAATTATGTTCATCTTATTCCTATTAATGGTATATTATATTCGATTTTAAACTATAATTTCATTTTTTCCTTTATTTGTTTGTCACAAATATTATCTATGTAATACCTACTTAAAAAAATCAACAATTGCAACTATGGATGGTAAAACGACAATTATAACCTTGTAACCTTAAAAAGACAATTGTACTTGAGGACATTTGTGTCATTTTTGTCTCTTATATTGTCCTTTCATTTGTAGCGGAAAAATAATACCACCTAGTAGGTGGTATTCAATAGCATCGTATACAAGACATTTAAGTCACTGTTCATGTCAGGTCGGTATTACGACCCAAAAAATAGTATCAATGATAAAATACCAAACAAACAAGGTATAAGGTGGGCCCTACGTACTATTTTTCTAATACCACCCATTTGTACCACTCTAATACTTCAAACAAACAACCCCTAAAGGGATTGGGGGGTTTGCACAAAGGAATTATAGTGGTTCACTAGTTCGGGAGCTCGACTATTCGACTCTTCGAATGAGACTCTTGCTCCTTGGATCTGTATTAATGATTTGCAAAATTTACAAGATATGTCTGATACAATGAGGGTTGTCTTGCCCCCGATGGAGGTACTGTACAATATTTATAGTTCAATTCATATCTCTAAGGGATCTGCAGCGAGATTCTTGCCCTTTATCTGTAGGATCTCCCTTGATTTTGAGAGAGGATCTTGGTCAATTGAGAGTTTTGTGCCTTAATTATAGCTTTTTGTTGTTTCAAGGACGCCTCCTATTAGCCAGCTGTTTCCTTCTTATCTCCTTTACTGTTTCCTACAAAGGGAGCTGGAGCTTTGGACTTCTAATCCCTATGTTTCTTTTCTTACCTCCTTGTCTGACCTCATTTCCCCGGGCTCGTACTTAGTTAAAATGCTTCCCTTGTATCATCAACGCCAAAGAAAACCCTATTAATCAACACAAAAGAGACTCGAAATCCATATTCAAGACGCAAAAGATGAAAACAGACAAATATTCAAGACGAAAACAGAGCAAAATTCTAAATTTTCACTTTTAGGTAGTGCTAAAGAAACACTATTGTTCAAAGTAATTAAAATTCAAAACCCAAATTTAAGAAACAAACAACAAAAATACATGAAAGTTCTAAATTTCTTCGCAAGGATTAGTAGGAAGTGATGGACCAGGGCCAAATGGCCCAATCCATGTGGAAAGGCCAAAGTTAATTAAGAGCCCAAGCTTATAGAAGACCTAGCAAGCCCTATGGGGTCCAACGCAGTCAAGCCCATTAAGGAGCTATGCCACTAAGGGAGCATCTAGGAGCCTCACTCTTGCTGCTTGGAGAAAGTCAACATNAGGAAGTGATGGACCAGGGCCAAATGGCCCAATCCATGTGGAAAGGCCAAAGTTAACTAAGAGCCCAAGCTTATAGAAGACCTAGCAAGCTCTATGGGGTCCAACCCAGTCAAGCACATTAAGGAGCTATGCCACTAAGGGAGCATCTAGGAGCCTCACTCTTGCTGCTTGGAGAGAGTCAACCTTCGCTCATCTTTTGACTAAGTCCTATGGAGGCATCATAACTTCTTTGCTCGTTGAGGAAAGGAGAGGTTGCTAAGCTATTTAATTACTGTTAAAGTCACCTCAATCCGTTATGACTATTAAATAGTCTCAATTCNGTTGAGGAAAGGAGAGGTTGCTAAGCTATTTAATTACTGTTAAAGTCACCTCAATCTGTTATGACTATTAAATGGTCTCAATCCATTATGACCGTCAGGGTAGCTATTCAATTACTATAGTAAGCCACTATAAATTGTAAGCCCCACCAACACTTAGGGGGCATCAGACTCATTTGAGCATAATTCTCTCCTCTCCCTCTCAAAGCTTGTAACTCTTTACTCTCCTTACACACTGGAGTTAATAAAATACCAATGACCCTTGTCATTCAAAGTGAACGTAGGTCATATTGACCGAACTACTATAAACCTTATNTTCGCTCATCTTTTGACTAAGTCCTATGGAGGCATCATAACTTCTTTGCTCGTTGAGGAAAGGAGAGGTTGCTAAGCTATTTAATTACTGTTAAAGTCACCTCAATCCGTTATGACTATTAAATAGTCTCAATTCATTATGACCGTCAGGGTAGCTATTCAATTACTATAGTAAGCCACTATAAATTGTAAGCCCCACCAACACTTAGGGGGCATCAGACTCATTTGAGCATAATTCTCTCCTCTCCCTCTCAAAGCTTGTAACTCTTTACTCTCCTTACACACTGGAGTTAATAAAATACCAATGACCCTTGTCATTCAAAGTGAACGTAGGTCATATTGACCGAACTACTATAAACCTTATCTTCTCTCTCCCTCTATTTATTTTACTACATTTATACTACTTATTTGATAGGTGGTGTACAAATCAATTTGTGCATCATCAGTTTGACACCATTTATGGGAACGACAAAATTCTCACATAAACACTTTTTCTGCTGAATCAAAGGTTATCACCACTAGGATCCATGAATCAACCTAAAGACATTTAACTACTAGAGGAGAAGGTTGCTCCTCCACTTGCCAATCCCGTCCCAAATGCACAGCAAATGCTAGAAACAATACAGCAGTTTATAGTCTATAACTAGTAAATTTTGTAGTTGATGCTCGGACAACAAGGAGGAGCGTAGTCTGAACCTCAAGCCAAGAAAGCTCCACTCTCAAGTCATCAAGGAGCTCCCCACCTAGGCCCTCCCTATCCAAGGGCCCCACCTTTGGGAGTACCCTTGGGCGCCCCACACAGGGGGGCCCACCATGAGGGACCTCCTCTTCCAGACCCTGCTCCTACTCCCCATGGTGGAAACCCTCCTTTCCAATAGGACAAGGGTGAAAACCAAAGCATGGAGCATGGGAGTCATATCCATGATAATTCCAGAGAACCTCTTCTCAATCACTGGGACGAAAAAATTAAAGAGGTGCAAAATCAATTGGGTGATATCTTCAACGCCATGAAGGTACAAGGATCCGAGACAGTGGACTACCTCGTAAGTCAAACAGACACACCTTTCAAACCTAACGTGGCGAACTACCTAATCTCTCAAAAATTCAAGATGTCATCCGTCGAAACCTTTGACAGTACAAAGAATCCACTGGACCACCTCAAAACTTTTAAGACCTTGATGCTGCTGCACAACGTCCCCGATGAAATCATGTGTAAAGCATTCCCAACCACATTAAAAGGATCCCACTCAACAATAGTTCGTCAAACTCTCCCAAGCCTCCATTGGCTCATTTGTTGAGCTTAGCAGGTTCTTCGTGTCACATTTCATTGGAGGACGCAGCCACCAGAAGCCTGTCACCCACCTGCTCAGCATAAAAGGATCGAGATGAGAGCCTAAGGAGCTATCTCAGTCATTTTAACAAGGAGGTCCTTCAGGTCGAGGAGCTTGATGATAAGGTCAGCATGACTGTCTTCTTAGGAGACCTCCAATCGTCAAGCTTTCTTTTCTCTATATTGAAGCGCCCACCAAAGAGCATGCCAGAACTGCTAGCAAAGGCCCATAAATACATGAATGTTGAGGACATTAAAAGGGCCAGGCAAGGTGAGTCTTCTAGAGTTGGGGAGAAGAGAAAAGAAAGAGACGGGGACAACAAGAAGGAGAGTAATAACAAGCGTAGCAGGACAGAGAGGGTACCTGTCATAGACCGACTCGATCCTGCTTCCCAAAGAGATCGACAAGCCTTCACTCCCCTTAATGTCGCTGTCGAGCATATCCTATTGCAGATCCAGGACGACCCTACAATAAACCCGTCGGAGAGAATGAAGTATCCCCTAAACTGCAGGAACCCAAATAAATATTGTCGCTTCTATTGCGACCATGGTCATGACACCGACGACTACAATGACCTCAAAAGACAAAATGAGGAGCTCATCCAACGGGATCACTTACGCCAGTATGTTGCCAGTAAGGGACAAGCACCGGCACCACCTCGTAACCAGAAGGACCTATAACCCATCGGAGAAATTCACACCATCTTTGGAGGGTTAGCAGGAGGAGGAGAATCCCTCTCCGCCATGAAGGCTCATGCTAGGAAAGCTAGACACCCCCAACGAATTGCGCTCATCTAAGGCACCCAAGCATGGCAACAACGAGGTCATTTCCTTCTCATACAAGGATTTGGAAGAAATCCAGCACCCCCATGATGACTCTCTGGTGCTCACTATGACCGTCGTCAACTTTCAGGTGCGAAGGATTTTTGTGGATAGCGACAGCTCTGCGGATATCTTGTTCGCATTGGCTTATGACAAGCTCAAAGGATTTTTGTGGATAGTGACAGCTCTGCGGATATATTGTTCGCAGAAACTTATGACAAGCTCAACTTGGCCAGAGAAAAGTTACAGCCCATCAGGTCGCTCCTCATTGGATTCTTAGAAGAGAAGGTGTATCCCTTAGGGTATATTATCTTACCTGTCACTGCCGGAGCGGCACCTCGAAACTCCATGGTCATAGTCAACTTTTCAGGGATAGATTGC